GCCGTCACTCCTCCTTTCGAGCCTGCAGTGATCCGGGCTGAGATCGTGATAGCGGGTGTCCTCCTCCCAAGACAAGCACATCCTTCCCCTCTTCGCCCTTCCCACTGGAGGAGCCTTCGTCTCCCCGGGGGAGAGCCGGGCTCCTCGAGCGGAATGAGAAAGAGGGGAAGGATGTGCTTGTCTGGGGCGACGAGCCCCCCCAATGAGAATCCCGGCACCGATCACGCATCTGCCTACGACGGAGTCAGGGGCGCAGTACAGGGGGAGGAAGTTGTGGATCACTCGCAGTTTGCCCCGTGGGATACCGAGCTGGATTAGGACGCAGAGGCCATGGTTTGAGACGGATGGAGCCAAGATCGGGAAGTGGAGCAGGAGCAGGCGACGGCACTTTGCTGTCCTCCCTTCCTCCCTGTCCTCTCCCCTCCTCTCCTCTCCTCGCATTCCACACTCTGCAGCTGTCCTTGCTTCTAATTGCGCTAGTGCTTATGCTCCCGGCACATCTTGCGATTTCAAAATATGGAGACGAAAGTTGGTCATAATAAAAACAAGGCCCCCTCCCCCTCCCCCTCCCCCTCCCCCGCCTCCTCCTTCTAATTGTCCTTATCCTTATCCTTGACTCCCTCCTTCCTCCCCTGATCATCCAATCTCTCGCTCATTCTGACCTCTCCTCCTCCTCCTCCTCCTCCTCCTCTCCTTCCACCACACACTCATCATCGTCGGTTTCTTCCATTCCATCCTTCAACTCCTCCGTCCTGCCTCTCTACACACCAATTCTCTTCCTCACTTCTCTTGCTCGTCCTACTTCCCTGCTCTCCTGCTTCCAAGCTGCAGAATTTTCCTCTCCTCCTCACCAATATTCACTGTGACGAAGCAACGAGGAGAGAGAGGATCCGGTGGCAGAGAAGTTGGATGAGGAGGTAAGTACAGTGAGGGGAGGAGACAAGGTTTGAGGGGAACGGGCTAGGAGGATGAGGACAGTGAAGAGGAAGAGGAGGGGAGAGCGAAGAGGAAGAGGAGGAGGAGGAGGAGGGGGCGAGCATGGGAATCACAGGGGATCTACGTTTCAATCTTCTTACTCTGATCGTATCATCCTCTTTCCCGTCCAGCTCCACAAGCTTGAACACAGCCAGACCAACACTACCACCACCACCACCACCACCAGTGTCGGCGGCAGTGACGGTTCAAGCAGGGACGACGGAGTTGTAGTGAGCCCCCAGGCTGTATGCGTGCTGGTGGAAGGAGAGCCGGAGGTGGACGGAGGAGGGGGAGAAGGGACTGAAGGTCTGCTCGTCCATCCTCGCGCTGTACACGTGAATGTTGGCATGCAGGGCACGAGCAAGCGCCATGAGCTCGATGTCTCCTCCCCACTCTGCCGTCTCCTCCACCTGCCGCGCGTACGAAGAGAAGTCCGCTTCCTCCACGAACCCCTCGAACTCTGCCTGGTGCGACCTCAGGAAGTTTGCGGCCACCCGGCGGAGGCTGCGGTAACCATCCTCATCTCCTCCCCCCCACTTCTCCACCTCCTTCCCCAGCTGCTCCGGGAGAGAGTCCCGATGCTCTCGGCACTGGTCCGCGAGCGCGCGGTAGAGGCAGTTCCCGTCGGGCTTGATGTCCCTTACTCGCATGCCCAGCGGCTCGAGCAGCTTCGCTATGCTCTTGTCCTCCTCCTCTCTCGGGTCCACCCAGCCCTTCATCGACTCCTTCGCCTCCTCTTGCCGCTTCTTCTCCATCGCCGCCTTCGCCTCCTTCCTCTTCTGCTGGCGCCCTTTCTTCCCCTTGCCGCTCGCTGCATACTTGAAACCTGCAGGCTCCTCCTCCTCCTCCTCCTCCTCCTTCTCCTCATCTTTCTTCGTCTCTGTGGAGGGCGGTGGAGGAGGACTTTGCTGCTCCTCTTTCTTTTCCTCCTGCTTGGTCACTGGAGCCTCCTGCCAATTCAACCAGTGAGCCAGAGAGGAGAAAGAAGCTCAAGTAAGCATGTGTTGGGTAAGGAGGAAGCGGAGAGAGAGGAAGATGAAAATGAAAGTGGATGTTGCGGAGGAGCAGGGAGCAGGGAGCAGGAAAAGAGAGCAGGAAAAGAGAGCAGGAGCAAGGAGAAGAGAGCAAGGAGAAGAGAGCAGGAGCAGGGAGCAGGGAGCAGCAGCAGGAAAAGAGAGCAGGAGCAGAGAGCAGGAGAAGAGAGCAGGAGCAGAGAGCAGGAGCAGGAGCAGGAGCAGAGAGCAGGAGCAGGAGCAGGAGCAGGAGCAGGAGCAGGAGCAGGAGCAGGAGCAGGAGCAGGAGCAGGAGCAGGAGCAGGAGCAGGAGCAGGAGCAAAACACGAACCTCGTCCGAGCTTATCTCCGCCATGAGCGACTCGAAGTTCTTCCTCGCCGCCTCCACCATGGCGGCTGCTTGCCTCGTAATCTCAAGGAAAACTTACTTTCACAGGATTGTATCCGGCAAACCAGGCCTGTGAATCGGATGCGGCTGCCACTGAGTGACTGAGTCGCTCCCGGTCCGGGGCCGCGGCGTGAACCCTGACCGCCGGGCTCGCCGGACTCGGAGGCTCGTGGCGCCGGGCCATCTGTCAAGGCCGCCCCGGGGGGGGGGGGTTGACGGATCGCATGCCAGCCGCCGTGCCAGTCAGATAGCCGCCGAGTTAACAAAACTCTCCGCGCGCGGAGTCCTGTACTATGCGGTAAACCAAGGCGACGCCGGGGCCTACTTGCTGCTTGGGTTTCACATCCTAGCATACAGTCTATCTCTTAATTCTGGTTGCGTGTGCATTAAACTCGGTATTGAGCAAAAACTGTCTTGTTACAAAGGTCGGATTGATGTCCGATCTGCATACTATGATAACTTTAAGTTACTTGTGCTCAGTCAGGTTGCGGGGGCATGGGCGGAGACTGCGGGCTGTAGTACTGTGTCGGACCCGGGGCATGGCAGGTGACCGGGTGCAAACGTACCGGGAGGCTACTACGGTGACAGAGGGGCTGGAAATTTACTTGATAGTGCCAGCTAGAGCGCGGCTGACTGTGCAGGATGTTTCAGCAAACAGAACTTGGAAAATAGTCACTGAGTCATGGCCTGATCTAGCAAGCAGCAGATCCTGGCAGTCTGAGCAGAGGGTCGCTCCTAGTCGCGTTAGTCGAATGAGGACACAGCATGAAAAACTCTCCAGCTGACACCACGTACTTCCACCTCGTGAGGTAGTGAAGCAAGAGCCTGCAGTCGGAGACCCTGCCTCTGTCATCCCTCACGACCGTTAGGATCTTCTCATAGCCTGCGATCCTCCTGTGCCAGACTCTTTCCAGTCCAAAGTCGATGGCAACGAGGGCGATGCTGCGGTTCGACTGAAACTCGCTCACAAAGTCTGCCGTCTGCTCCCAGACGTCTGTCCATACTGGAAGGAAGATGACTTTGAGGAAGAGCATCAAGCGAGTTTGAGAGACCCGCGGATATCTGACGGGGGCTCTCCTCCTCCTTGCTGCAAGCCTCATGTCCCGGTAGGCAAGGGCTGGGGGTGACAGAGGAGCAGGGTTGCGAGTAGCTCCCCATCGCATGGGCCCGTAGGTGTCAACGAAGTAGTACCCAGCTACCATGCGCAACTTGCTGTATGCTCTTGCTATGAGGTCGTGATCGTCGTCTCCTTGGTAGAACCCGTCCTCATCAAGAAACCCGAGCTGCCGCAGGGAGGGCGCATGCCACAGAAGCGGTCCTCGGTTGCATGTTCCTCTCACAGCAAGAGACTTCTTGGCATCGCAATGCTGGTGGACTGGCAAAGGATCGTTATACTTAACCCCGCATCTTCCTGCTCTAGAGTTCCCATGGGCGCAACGGGCCGACACGGCAAAGACATCGTTGAAGACTCGGAGGGGGATGTACATCGCAAGGTTGAAACAAACTTCCTGCACGAGCATGTCGGCCTGAACAGAGATGATCGCCTTAGTGGCCCGTGATAACCTGTATCCGATGTTCTCCGACGAAGTCTCCCACACTGGCGTCGGCTGTACGACAAGAAGGACCCGCGTGAAGATGGTGGTTTCTTGGAAGCTGCTGCTGTTGATGAGCCCCAGGATCATCTCTTGCGTCGAGTCAGTGCAGGCGTCCAGCACCAGGAGGAGCTCAGTAGACCCGCAGGACATGTTGAGCACAGTGGGTAGAGTCTCCAGGACGTGAGATTGCGCGTTGTGAAAGGCGATCACGATACTTTGATCGGGATCGTCCTCTGAGGTCACCAGCTGGAACTCGATCCTTGCTGGATCTCGGAACTGTCCCAACCCGTAGTGAAGCGCATAAGTCTCGTTCAAGTAAGAGCTGTTCTTGGGAGTTCCCTGTCCCTGGGCTCTGTGGTGAGATTTGGACATGCGCGTCATCACAGCATTGAAAGGATCTTTTATCCAGCGTTGCAGGGCTCTCCTCGGCGATGACCTGTCAAGATGAAGCATTTGCTTCAAGATGACGGTCGTGAGTATCCCCTGAAAGAGGAGGAGGCAGAAACACGTTGGAACCAAACATCGCCTCTTCCTCCCCGTCCTGCTCTGAGCACGAGGCTTCTGAGACCTCATATGAGAGAGAACCGACTGATCCGGCACATATGAAGTCTCCCGCTCAGCAGCCCTTGAGCATGGGGGAGCGTGCAAGTCAGGAGGACAATAATGCAGGCTGTGGTCAATTCAACTTCAATGAACCCCCTTGACCTCAGGCGCTTGCTTCAATTGAAAAGCGGCAGAGAGCCTTTCACGTCCTGCACGTCTGAGGATCAATCTTGATGATGCTGATGATGTGACTCAGCCTTATCTCCCTCCAGCTCTCTCTGCTTCCTCCCCTTGCCTGACCGCACGGTACCCTCCTCCTCTTGTCCTGCTCGCACCCAGGATGTTGATTAGTTTCGGACGGGTAATCTACTTTACTCAATCTACTGCTCACTCCACCCCCTTCTCATGCGCAACTTCTGGGGTCAAGAGCAGGGGTTCTAGGTTACATAATTGTGGCCGACCGCTGCTGGCCGCTCAGCCTCGCCGCCTCAGGGCCTTCCTCCACGGGGGCCCCTGGGCCTCCGGGCCTCCCCGGGCTCACTGTCAGCACTGACTGACGGAATACAAGTTTGTTAGACTTGTACTAGTCCAAAGTCACGCAGACATCACATCGACCTTAGTTGTAACAAGACAGTTTTTGCTCAAGACCGAATTTAATCCGGCAGCGGCACACAAAACCAGAATTGAGGAGCACATGAGAGATAGACTGTATTCTAGGATGTGAAACCCAAGCATCCAGACATGTGAGGACCTTAGCAAGACGGCTAGGAAAGCCCCCTCTTCATCCCACACGCTACATGAGCCGCCTTGACACGTAAGTCGTCTTGGTTTACAGGAGAGTTTTTGTTAACTCGGCGCTATCTGACTGGCACGGCTGGCATACGTTCCATCACTGACCGCAATACTCCGACTATTGCCGCAGTGCTCGGCGAACAACGAAACGGCAGCGCTGGATGGCCTCTCGCGCCCTCGCGGCGCCGCAAGACTATCGGTGTCCGACACGGTCCGATCTCAGGTGATCCGCCGACCGTCCGACTTGCCAGTTGCAAACGCACTGGAGTCCAGTATCTTTCTTTCACTCAAGGCCTCCCTGTCCTTCGCTGCCATGAATGATCATCGCGGGGCCGCGCATTCCGGTAGGTATGCGTCTCATTCCTTCGGTGGCGGCCACAGCGACTCATCGCCGCACTCAGTGGCATAGCCGCTGGCCCGGGAATTGTCCTGCACTGACGCAGCAACTACTACAGTTAAGTGAACTTGGGTTTGGTTCTCGCTGTCTTTTCTCTCCTCGCCGCGCCGCGCCGTTTGGCCCAGGCCGGGCTGTCGCCACAGTGTGCCGCGGCGATCGGACAGAGCGTTAGGGTCATCATGATGTCCGATCCTCGTACTGATCTTTAACTTCAACTTTGAGTAAAGAGACAACCGAGTCCGACTCAGTGACAGTGACTATCTTTGTTCTGTCGAAACTTGCGGCGGTCTGACCCCACGGCCTGGACCCGGCCCGGCCCGGGCCGGCCGGGCGCCCCGGCCCGGCGGGCCCGTGCGCCGGGCACTGCGCCGCTGCCGCACTGCCGGCGGCGCACTGCCCGGCCGGCGGCCCCCACCAGGGCCCGGCCGGGCTCCATGAGGTTCAGTAACAGTACGGTAAACTCAGGCTCGCAACTTCGCCGCTTGTACTGAGCCTTGCGGCGTGCGGCGGCCCCCGGGCCCGGCAGTGTGGCTATGGGACTGGATGAGCAAGAAAAATGCACGAGGGGGACCGCCCTGGTCGGTTAAGAGGCTCGTGATGAAAATAGGGGTGGGGTGGATAATGAAAGCCTGGTGAAAGGGGGGGAACACTAGAATAGGCACGGCGTGGTTGCCCCTGTTGCGAGAGGGATGCAGAGACAGGCAGGTCGGTCAGCTCATGGCGCATCTGCATGCCCATGAGGTCAGCCCTGCCGCTCAGCAGACGCGGCGTGACCCCCCAACAGGCCCTGCATGCCATCCAGCAGACTTGCCTTCTGGATCCTGTGCAGCCTGACGCTTTACTCGCTGATTTCCATTCCTCACGCAGTCCGACATCGGGGGCATGGGCGTTCAGCGTCTCGATCAAGGCTCCGAGAGCTGAAGGTGCCAAGAGCTGAAGATCTCATCAGAGCACAAGACCTCGCTAGAGCACAGAACTTTTCTACAGCCCAATATCTTACTGAATCTCGAGACCTCCCAAAAGCGCAGAATCTCACCAAAGACAATGGTCATGATAGAGCTCAATATCGTACGCAAGCAAACAACTTTACTAGGGCTAAGGAGCTTGCTGAAGCACAAGATCTTACGCCAGCACAGAATCTCACCAAAGACAACGGTCATAACAGAGCCCAAGATCTCATGCAGACAAGCAATCTTACCATAGCCCCAAATCTTACGCAAGCACAGAATCATACTCAAACAAAGGAACTCTCGCAAGCGCCGCCATCTCACAATGTGTCAAGAAGAGAAACAGTGTACGCTTGGATGCATGTTCCGAGGACCGGAGGGACGTCAGCATACAACAGCTTCATGATCGCGCTTGCCAACCATGGCCGTAGGATCTATCCTGTTGTGAATGGCAAGGGACCCCCGCATGACTGGAACAGCCCCGGGTGCGATCACTACCCCTGGTACGGAGGGACACACTGTACGCTCATGGAGATGCACATTTGCTTGTCTTCGAAGCTCTTCCCTTCCCATGACATCAGGTTCTTGACGACCTTTCGTCATCCCGTGGAACGCGTGATCTCCGAGTATCGCTGGTGGTTACAGGACAAGAGTAACATCTGGACAGCAGCCATGAAGCAGAAGAGCTCGAGTTTGAAGGAGTGGGTGCTTGAAGAGAACAACGTGGCGCACAACCGGCTTGCTTTCTTCTTGCTGCATGATGGAAAGTATGTTCATGATGAGTGTGTAATGACCAACGCAGTACATGTCATCTCATGGGTAAAAGAGCATTACGGCTCGTTCGAGGGCATGAACAACAGTACCTCTGCAGCCAAGCAAGCGCTGTCAAGGATCGATGTTGCCAGCGGACTGTTCTCCTTCATAGCTCTGCTGGATAGGCCGAAGGCCTCCAACCAGGCGTTTGCACGGGAGTTCGGGTATGAGGGACAGCAAGGGAAAGTTAGGAACAACAAAAGCACGCAAAAGACAACGGCGGTAAGCGATGAGATCCGAGAGCTGATCAAAAGTAGAAATCGTCTGGACATGCAAATCTACCGAGAGATCTGCTTGAGAATCGACCCGGGAAACCCAGCAGGTTGTGACAAGGCGACGGGAGTGATCGAGACGCCTCCGCCCGAGGCTGAAGGAGGAAAACGAGGGAGAAAGCAGAAGAAATAAAGAAAGATAATGTCTCTGATATCATCAAGACTGACAAATAAAGATAATGTCTCTGATATCATCAAGACTGACAAATAAAGATAATGTCTCTGATATCATCAAGACTGACAAAGAAAGATAATGTCTCTGATATCATCAAGACTGACAAATAAAGATAATGTCTCTGATATCATCAAGACTGACAAAGAAAGATAATGTCTCTGATATCATCAAGACTGACAAATAAAGATAATGTCTCTGATATCATCAAGACTGACAAATAAAGATAATGTCTCTGATATCATCAAGACTGACAAAGAAAGATAATGTCTCTGATATCATCAAGACTGACAAAGAAAGATAATGTCTCTGATATCATCAAGACTGACAAATAAAGATAATGTCTCTGATATCATCAAGACTGACAAATAAAGATAATGTCTCTGATATCATCAAGACTGACAAAGAAAGATAATGTCTCTGATATCATCAAGACTGACAAATAAAGATAATGTCTCTGATATCATCAAGACTGACAAATAAAGATAATGTCTCTGATATCATCAAGACTGACAAATAAAGATAATGTCTCTGATATCATCAAGACTGACAAATAAAGATAATGTCTCTGATATCATCAAGACTGACAAATAAAGATAATGTCTCTGATATCATCAAGACTGACAAATAAAGATAATGTCTCTGATATCATCAAGACTGACAAATAAAGATAATGTCTCTGATATCATCAAGACTGACAAAGAAAGATAATGTCTCTGATATCATCAAGACTGACAAATAAAGATAATGTCTCTGATATCATCAAGACTGACAAATAAAGATAATGTCTCTGATATCATCAAGACTGACAAATAAAGATAATGTCTCTGATATCATCAAGACTGACAAATAAAGATAATGTCTCTGATATCATCAAGACTGACAAATAAAGATAATGTCTCTGATATCATCAAGACTGACAAATAAAGATAATGTCTCTGATATCATCAAGACTGACAAAGAAAGATAATGTCTCTGATATCATCAAGACTGACAAATAAAGATAATGTCTCTGATATCATCAAGACTGACAAATAAAGATAATGTCTCAAGAACAAATGGCCCAGCCTGAGTGTCAGATTGTCCTCGTACTGATTTTTAACTTAACTTTGAGTAAACATGCGGATAAGCTGCTGGCCGGCGGCGCTTCCGAGTAACAAAATTGACCAGGAGGAGGGAGACGAGCGAGGGAGAGGGCGAGATGAGGGAGGGAGGGAGTTGACATCGTGATGGTGACCTTGCAAGGTGCGATACACAGGGATCGGCTGCAGGAGGGGGTAGGGAGGGAGCTGGAGAGATCGGCTGCAGGAGGGGGTAGGGAGGGAGCTGGAGAGATCGGCTGCAGGAGGGGGTAGGGAGGGAGCTGGAGAGATCGGCTGCAGGAGGGGGTAGGGAGGGAGCTGGAGAGATCGGCTGCAGGAGGGGGTAGGGAGGGAGCTGGAGAGACCATGTCTCGTTATACAAGGCTGTTCTTCCTTGCAGCCGCCGTCGTCGTCATTGTTACAATGATTGTTACCATCGCCGTCTTCGAGTTGAGGATCTACCGCTCTCAGACTCGACTACTTCACCATAACACGCAAGAGTGGCTGATCCATGCTCAAGCGCAAGATCAGGCGCTCCTCAAGCTACATGGTGCGAATGAAACTGAGCGCAAGCAAACTCCGACAACAGTAGCGGGCAGGAATCAGGTAGGTACAGCTAGGCCTCGCGTTGATCAGGCTGAGTTGCACGCTCGATTTGCCGTGCCTGACAGCCTTTGGCCACCATCGAAAGCTGTGATCAACAACGCCAGCCTTGACTTGAAGCTGAGAATATCTGCCACCAAGCGCATGTACATCACGTATGGGCAGAACTGTTGCGTGAGCGCCAAGCATCGAGCTTGCAGGCACGCAAAGAGAGAAGGGAAGTTTGATGCCTGCAAAGCGTTTTCGCAGAGTGACATCGACCAGAGCTTCCAGCGAAGAAACCAAGAGATCTTCAATGTTGGCAGAGGAGCTGGGCTATGGCTCTGGAAGCCGTATATCATCAACAAGACTCTGCACGAGGATCTCAACGAGGGGGAGTACCTTGTGTACGTCGACGCCGGCGCCGTCATCAAATCGCCGATCGATCCCATGCTTGCTTTCATGGAGGTTCAAGACAGCAAACTACAGGTGCTGGGATGAAAAGTCATCGACTTCAGCGACTGATCGCATCTCCCAGGGCGTCTTGACATTTGGAGTTGGATATCCACAGTCTATGTTCTGCAAACGAGACACTTTCATCATTCAGAACTGCGATACCTCGGTGAGCAAGTCCGACAACCTCGGTCGATCTTGACTCGTCGCCAAGGAATGCCACGAGGCCATGCAGGTAGACGGCTACCTGAGCGTGTGGCGGAAGAGCCAACATGCGCTCGAGGTCGTGCAACAATGGCTGAGGTGAGAAATCAAACCCCCTCCTCACTTGATGGAACGCGTCGACCGTCAAGGTGACTGACGGGAGTGTCAGGGAGTGTCAAGACCTTCAGAGTCTGTCGGATGATGAAAACGTCAAGGGTGAACCCAACCTTCCAGGTGAAGCTGCTTGCTTGCACCTGCAGAGACAGACTTGCTGATCAGGGTATCGGGACCATCGGCACGATCAAGCGATCCTCACCAACATCTTCACGCGCGAGAAATGGTGCTTCTGCTGACCTTGACGGCCATGATCTCTTAGTAACCAACGGTCATCTTGACAGGGGGAGGGAAACCCAGCACGGGCCCGTCCAGTTCATGTTCTCTCATGACCGAGACAAGTCTTGAGGCTCCGGGCGTGCACTCGGACGGGAGTATGGGCCCCCGCCATACGCCGTCACCCGGGGTCTACGCCGGTACTGTGGCCGCCGCGGCGGCCGCGGCGTCTGACCGTGTACACGGTACGGTCGCCGCCGCCGGGCGGCCCAACTTGCACTGCCGCCGCAGCGGTGGCCGGGCGGCCCCGCCCCGCCCCGGACATGCGGGGGGCCATCACCGGGGCCGGGCCCCCGGCCCGGGATGCGGCGGCGCAGCCGTGACACGGTGCTCAGCATGGCGCAGCCTGTGACACTGAGTGTGAAACTTGGCACTGAGGGGCCGGCGCCACTGGCCGGCGCCGGGACTCGAGAAAAGTTCCGGTCGCGGCGGCCCGGGGCGCGGCGGCCGCTTCACTGATCACTACGGTAGTATCGAAAACTGCTAGCCTGCCGACTTGTTGCAATCATTATTAGCACACAATTGTGTACCTCCTCTGGTACTTATGATAAAATTGTATATATTAAATTTGTATTGTGATATATATATTATATAAATAAATGATACACAGGCCAATTGCTTGTATCAAAGGGTTAAAATTGGATACTCAAAGCTACTGGAGATCTCGCACTACGAGACCTTATGATATATATATTTATTTACCGTCTTTGCGGAGAAGAAGTCACCCCATACATTAAATTTTAGATTAATATCATAGGTAACAGTAGAATTTAAATCTTTATTTGCTGGATATTGGTACACTTTTTACAATGAGTTATTTTTTAAAAGTCGCGGCGGAGAAATGGGGGTGAAATCGCTGCTTCAGCGAAGAAGCGCCGCGGGCGTTGGAAGATGGAGGAGGGGGAGGGGAGGAGCGAGGAACAGGAGGAGAGAACATACAAACATGCTAGGGCAAGGAAGGAAGAGCCATTGTCAGGGCAGGCAGGGACAGGGCAGGACCGGAAAGGGTCAGCAGGGATAGGGAAACATGGCATTGCAGGAATTGTTGAACAGGAAAGGAGGGAGGGAGGGATGTGGAGAAAGGAAAGACTAGAGAGATAAATGCTGTACGTGGAGCTGTTACATCACTTGTTCTTTATGTTCTCTTTGTGCCGAGGCCTGTACGGATGCCTGGCCGAATGAGATGCGTTGATTGGCATTGCTGCCGTCAAACAGTTGTTTGCTCTGTGATGTGTCCGGGAGGCGCCTGCTGTTGTCGTTGCTAATTTTATGAGGCTCAGGCAGATCTGGTTGTGGTCTTATTGTTCGTTGCGCTATGCTCATGTGACTGTAAGGTCGCATATTGTGATTTGTTGGGGCAGATACATTGATAGGAGCTGTGCTGTATGTGCTTGTTGATGGTTGTTGAGGGAGAATCGATCCTCGAAGAGCACTGTGCTGTTGAACGATGGAAGAGAGGATGCGTTCTAGACTTAGGCCGTGGCTCGTGAAGAACATGTATCAGTCTGATCAAGAGGCAATGATTGAAGTTTGCTGTGCGCGGGAGACCTTATGGGATGCTGAACCGCTCTTGGTGTGCAGTCATATCTTAGCCCGTCGACAGCTTGGCTGCGATCTGCACTGCAGTGCTTACAGCCGAGGCGTCGCTGTTGCTCCGTCCCTTCCCATGGAGGACGAGGCTCCTCCTCCTCTGGGGTCAAAGAGCGTGAGCGAATTCTTCGAGAAGCCGCAGGGAAGCAAGAAGAGCATAAGTTTCGGGGTGATGAACTCCCTCACTAGGGAAGAAGCGGAGGAGTCGACGATGGATGAGGAGAGGGAAGGCGAAGGTGGGGAGGACGCGGAAGATTTGCCTTGGAAGGACGTCCACGGTGCAAGGCATGTACTCGAGGAGACTAGGAGATGCCACAGTCTCTCAGACCTTGAGAATCTTGAAGCTGCTGTATGGGAGATAGAAGACAGGTGCGTGTCTCTTCTGTCTTGCTCCACTCTGCACCGTCGGCGCGAAGGCTCACAACACGTGCATCGTGGTAGGTTTCTAGAGGTGAAGGAGATGGTGGATGAAGACATCTTGGCTCTCATGTATGAGTTCGAGTTAGAGCGAGAGGTGACTTCTCTTCGTCCCCTCGTTCTCCTTGATTGTGACATGAACATGCAGTCCATCGACCAGTTACGATACGGAACTCATGCAGATCTAATGGGTCTAGCCCAGTCGTTCCTTGACCTTTCCAACTGTCCGTCCTACGGTGTCATGGACTGCATGCGGAAATGTCGGAAGCTTGCGAGCGATCTGTCGGAAAAGTTGCAGGTGCTGATGTGCTTTTTTCCCATGAAAGAGTTAATCTGCGCTATCTAGTTGTGGGGAGACGATTGGCCCTTGCCCAACATGTACATGAAACTGCTCTTTATTGTATCAAGGTGTTCTCGCCTCTCGTATTGCATTCAGGTACAATTCTCCTCCTTCTCAATGTCCTCCTTGCTCGCCTCCGGCTTCTCTTCGTTCCCACTCTCCTCCTCCTTGTCCTCGTCCTTGTCCACCTCTTGCTTCGTACTGTATATTTTCGATCTTTGTTCCTTTGCTATCCCTTCCTTCTTTCCCTTTCCCTCTGATGTCCTTCATACCCGTCAACTTGAAGGCCCTTATCCATCCTTCTTGGACTCCTTTACTCTTTTGATTCTTCTTGCCAGCCTTTGGGTAATGAGATCGAAGCAAAGTTGAAGAAGATCAGCCAGAAGGGATCTCCAGGGAAAAAGTGAGCGCAAACTCAATCTCTTTGATTGTTTTCTGACTGACATCTCGAAGGACACCTTCGAGGAGCATGGAGAGCGGCAGCACGGAACTCCATCCCATGCGAGCTCCGGTGAACACCTCTCGGCTCTCAGACGTTTGTGCAGCTGCATGCGACTAACCCCTGTTTGTCCTGTAGGGGCCCATCCCAGGCATCAATCTCAGCTTTGGGACGGACTCTGACTCTGACGGGCTTCTACCTCCTCGGGGTCATGCTTTCAAGGCACTGGACGAGGCCTCCCATGACTGGGATGCTCAAACTCCGAGCGATCAGCACTACTCGTCCGACCACTCGTCCGACGAGGCGAAGCTAGAGAAGTGCAACAGCAGGCTGCAGGAGATCATAGTGACTCTGGGGGGCCTTCGAGATGACGAGCCACAGCTGGAGGGGAGCAAGACAACGAAGCAGGCCATTCAAGGCCTGCACATGGCTGCCTCCTTCTCTGAGAAGTCCCTCTCAACCTACGGCTCGCCCCCGATGCACGCCTCAGCCCTCGCGCACATCCGCCGATCCTCCTCCATGAAGAATGCGAGGGACGGACGGTCGATGTCTCCTCACTGTGCGTCGAGGGGACTGAGCCCATGCTCTCGAGGCTCCTCCCCGAGCAAAGTTCGAACACGTCGTTCTCTGGTCTCTCCCTCCCAGCCTGACGAGAGCAGCACGCTAGAACGGACGAGGAGCTCAGCTGAGAACTCGAGGTCGTCGCACGAACACTTCGGGCGGTCGGAGGAGTCGCGACGGAGCTCCTTGCCTGACGAAGTCAAGAACACCAAGCCTCGCTCCGTCTATCAGTTCGCCTTGGACTCGCCTGCCCTGATGCGCCTGGGGGGAGCCAAGAGCCCTGACCCTCGTCCCCTCTACAGCCCTCGAACTAGCGAAGGAGGAAGGTTCAGCAGCCCAAGACCCTCCCTCGAGCTGACGAGGCCCCACGACTTCCGGTTGGACCACAAGAGGTCGCCAGGCAACACTAATGACATGCTCGACAGGCACTCAGCGATCCAGGAGAACGACAACGAGAGCACGTCTTCCAGCGATAGCAGGAGGAGCTACCCGCTCGACCACCAGAGGAGAAGGTCAAGCGGCGCCAACATGCTTCTCTCTCCCCCCGTGATCTTGGAATCGAATCGCAAGAGTTTCGTGGACTTGTCGCGCGAGGGGAGGGCGTACGTCAGCCCCGAGCGGCGGTATGCCTCGGAGATGGCTGGTCGCCTGCCTTCGACAGGGAGCATCAGGAGCAACAGGAGCAGCGAGATCAACTTGGGCAGCCCCTGCGGAGATACCAAGGAGAGGAGCTCGAGACGGTCAGTGCAGGAGCTGGAGGATTCGGACAGCCAGTCTAGGAGGAACTCCTTGGAGGCTGCACGGAACGAGTGGCACGGCCTGTACGATCATACAACGGAGGCCAAGGAAGTTGTGGTGACGTCAGCAGAGCAGCAGGAGGTCGTTGCCATCGACGTGCTACAAGATCTCGCGCAAAATGCCTTGGACGCCGACTCGTCCAAGGTGATGGAGTACTTCCTCGAGAGCCTGGAGACCTTCTCGGAGATCCGCTCGACCGCTCCGCTCAGCCAGCAGGTGAGGTCGCAGCTGGAGCTGCTGCTGGTGGTGGTGAGGGACAAGCTCTGCCTCCACCGCAACAGAGAGTTCCTGCAAGAGAGCATAGCACAGTGGCAGCGGCTGGAGGTGGCGACTGCCCCCGGCTCTCCTGCCCTCCCTCCCCTCGGGTCGGCCAACCTCCCCAACCTCAACGCGATCTCGAGCCTCTCGTCCGAAGCTTCAGTCCACGAGGAGAGTAGTAAGGACTCCATCGGTGGCTCTGGGCCAGACTTGGGCAGCTTGCCAGCTCGTATGCCGCGGTCGCGATCGTTCAGCAGCGGGAGGAACCCGCTGCTGAAGCGCAGGCAAACTCGTCAGTACGATCTTTTCACGGGGATGGACGGCTCCCAGGGGTACTCGAGCCGCAGCGCGTCAACAAGCTGTTCGCCTCACCTCAGCCCCCGCCGCTCCTCTCCTTCTCTATCTCATGAGAGGGACTCGGAGCCTCCCTCCAGCAGGGCCTCGCCTGTGACCGGCACGCTGGACAAGCCCAAGGTGTCAAAACTTGACAAGACGGAGGGTTACTCGGAGTTCTGCGAGGAGGTCGCCGAGCAGCTCAGCAGGGCCAAGAGTTTGCGGGAGCAGAAGCCGCTCGGAGCAGAGGAGGCGGTTCGAACTCCCTCAGCTGGGGAGGAAACGCCTGACACGGAGGTCGGAAGGCACGGGGAAGGAGCGACGGATTCGGAGGTGTCGCAGCCCCAGTCGCTCGCTGACCGGGCGAGGATCAGCCGACAGCAGAGCGCGTCGAAGCAGCCGGGAGCGCACAAGCTGATCAAGAACGGGTCCATCGATGGGCACTCGGTCGATGCCATGAGGGGGGAGCAGGGGGCGGCTGTTTGCCACGAGCTGGGGATCTCGGACTTCGAGACCGTGAAGCCCATCTCCAAGGGAGCATTTGGGGTCGTCTACCTTTGCCGGCACAAGCTGGACGGTCAGCTATACGCGGTGAAGGTGCTGAAGAAAGCGGATGTGAGGAGGAAGAACCAGTTCAAGTACGTCAAAGCTGAGAAGACGATCATGGCGGCCGTCGACTGCCCGTTCGTAGTCAAACTGATCTGCTCGTTCCAGACGCGGGAGAATCTTTACCTGGTGATGGAGTACGTGCAAGGGGGGGACTGCTACACCCTCCTTCAGGGCATAGGGAGCCTGAGCGAGGAGTGGGCAAGGCAGTACATGGCCGAGATGGTGCTGGCGCTGGAGTACCTTCACAACAAGCGCATCATCCACAGAGACCTGAAGCCGGACAACATCCTCATCAACTCCGACGGCCACCTCAAGCTCACTGACTTCGGCCTCTCGGACATGGGCCTCATGGACAAGAGCGAGCTCTCGGTCCTCGCCACCCCCACCACCCCGGCCGGCATGACCCCAGCACGCCTGCGGTCGCCGAGGCACCGGTCCCCTGTGCGGCATCGGGACATGGCCGACTGGCAGCGGCACAACTCGCCTCTGCGCAGAGATATCCTTGAGGAGTCTCCGGGGCGGGATGACAGTCTGCACACGCTGAGCGAGAACTGCGCGATCAACCTGGAGGACGCGCTGAACGAGCAGGGGATGTCGCCGAGGAGACCTGGAGGTCACCTGGAGCCGAGGCCCGAGTTCGGGAGGGGGAGGCCGCTGCGCCCCTTCGAGAAGATGGACGAGCGAGTAGGATCGCTGGGGGAGGAGGAGGAGGAGGAGGAGGAGATCGGGATCGACCTCGGGGAGCAGCAGGATGGGGGGCTCAACGTGCTAGAGCCGACTTTCGAGCACAGGAGCGCAGTTCACCAGGAGCTGACCAGGTTGCCCGAGCTGGAGCGGCGGCCGCGGACTCTGTCGGAGGGGACGCGAGAGCCGCCAGTCATCGAGCACTCCTCGCTGCTGAGGAGGCGGCAAGACGCTGGGAACTTCGACATCTCGGAGAAGTGAGAGCAAAGAGCGAAGAAGCTGTGCTGGGGTCTGACCTTACTGGCAGGTGGGGAGAAGGCGGGGCGAGCATAAGAATGGATTGTATCGACGAGTTCAAGTCGCCGTCCCACCAGGCTCCTCCCCTCCACATATCCAACTTGGGGCATGCGAGCACCTCCAAGACGCCGCGGAACCAGAACAAGCTGGGCATCAGGAGAAGGGAGGATATCGTCGGAACCCCCGAGTACCTCTCTCCTGAGATCCTCCTGGGGCAAGAGCACAGGTCTCCTCCTCCTACACCCTCCGCGCTGCTCCTGCCTCCCACTGCCTCCATGCTCCTTCCTGCCTTCCTGCTCGTTCCTTCCTTCCTTGTCCCTCCACTTCCTGCCTCCTCCTTCATCCTACTCCTACTCTCTATACCGCCTCTACCCTCCTACCTCCTACCTCCTACCTCCTCACACAACTGCACCACTTTCCGTTTCCTCCTCAGCTGACCCTCGTCCCTCGCCCTCTCTCCACCTGCATCTCACTCTCTTGGCAGCTTCGGGGTTGACTGGTGGGCCCTCGGGATCATCCTCTTTGAGTTTCTTACCGGACTACCTCCTTTCACTGGCGACACACCAGAACTTGTAAACTCCTCTTCCTCCTCCTACTCGTCATCATCATCATCATCAACAACAACAACACCTTCCTCCTCCTCCTCCTCCTCCTCCTCCTCCTCCTCCTCCTCCTTTTCCTCATCATCATCATCATCATCATCATCATCATCATCATCATCATCATCATCATCATCATCTCATCATCATCATCATCATCTACTTCATCCTCCCCCTCCCCCTCCTTTTCCTCTCTGGTAGCGCAGG